TCTTTGTTGGTGTTCCAAGTAATGCACCCATTGAAAGCAGAACTCCAAGGTAGGTAGATTCCTCAAAGAACAATTTATTGGATACATCATATTGGCACAACTGGTGAAAACTGACTCTGAAAGTTCCTGCCGTTTTCACCTAGTTAAAAAGTAAAAGTTTCCCCTTCCCCCGGGGTCATCGGTCACATTGCCCAATCATGGTGTTAGCAGGTTGCCTGGTTACTCCAATCCTCCTCCCCTCAGCCACCTGTTGGAATGACCTTGGTTCCCACAAGAAAACTTTTTATTTTGACAGCAAAACAGAGCTATCTAAATTTCACCCCCCTACCCTTTCTCCCCCTCTGCTGTGTGGCAACCATGAAGCCCCAAAGATAGCCTCAGCCAGGTACGCTTCAGGGTTGACAGGGGGTGTGCATAAGCGCACCAGTGTGCCTACCATCCTTATCCTACTGTCCCCATTTATATGTAATTATTCTATGTGTTTATGGCTATGTTTTGCCTATTTATATCCTTTTATTTGTGCCAATTTTTTTTCATGAGTCCATGTTCTGTCCCCCTTCCTCACACAGGCAAACGTAATTTTATTTTATTTTTATTTTTTATTTTATTTCAAATTTATATACCGCACCTTCTCTCAAAAGACTCAGGGCAGTGTACAGCCAGATAAAAACATACAATACAAACATTAAAAAACAATTAAAAGGATATATATTAATTTGGCCCCAGTTTAAGATAACAAACACATTAATTTGGCCCCAGTTTAAGGTAACAAACACACCAATACCAAGCACACCTGCCAATATTTTATTAGGTAAACAGATTAGAATTCTTGGCAGACCAAGGTTTTGGCAGCAAACTGCCGAATGCCTACCAAGACCGTTTTCACTCCCATAAAGCAGAAGAGGACTTATCTTCAGTCCGTTCCAGGAGCAACAAATTATCCACAAGACAAGAGTTTAGTCAATGTTCAGTCCAAAATATATCCAAGCCGAATTTCAGAGATCACGATGTGACTTTCAGGGTTTAACTTTGTCCATCACAAAGCCTGAAGAGCAATCCCACCCACTTTTATTCCTGGTGGGGCGTGGCTCCGTGACTCAGCTCAATCTCTGGCCCTCCCATGCCTCTTCCGTTGCTGCGCACGCTTCTCCCTCCGACGCTACCTGGGATCAAGCCAGGATTCATCATCCTCGCTCCCTATCAATTGGTGCTCCGATATGCCTTCCTCCTGGCACATCCCAGGCTGTTCCTCCTGGCCTTTGGATGGAATCTGAGGCATTGCCAGAAAGGAGGGTCCTGGAGAGGGAGGCCTTGTCAGTTCCTCCCCATCACCTGCTGAGTCCTCTTCCTCTGTCAGGACAGGCTCGGGAGTCAGGGTCAAAACAAGTCCATGTCTGGGTCTATACTGTTACTTGTTTCCTTGTACTTGTTGATAAATGAATGAATGAATGAATGAATGAATGAATGAATGAATGAACGAACGAACGAATGAATGATATTATTTAGTCATGGATTTCAGCATAGCGAAGTAGTATTCTTTCTCTACCCTTCCTAACTAGGAAAGCAGCACCCTTCATTCTTTGTTTTTCATGCCTTGACTCTTGAGTAATATGAAAGGTACAGGAGACATTACATTGGTGAAGGCTGCAGTAGTTCCCTGTTGGAAATTATTGCAAATAATCTTTGCTTTAGATGAGGGACAGAAAACTCATTTGTCACTCTCCAAGGGGGACCTATGGCTTACAATTTTTATAAACTCTTATCATTTCCCCGCTCTGCTTATCTTATTTTCTTTTCTTGATCAAAGGCGAAAATAAGCGTTACTCTTTCTTTCCAGAAAAATCCCTTGCAAGCCCTTAATCATTTTAGCTGCCCATTTCTTTTCCAGTTTCTCATTAAGAGTTATGGTGACCAGAAAGTACAGTCTTCCAAGCCTGGCTACCTTCACTTTATATAATGGCATTGATGCTTTGCAATTTTGTATTCAATCACTTTCTTAATAATTCCAAGCCCTGAACATTCCCCCTTTTAGGGCTGTAGCCTGCCAAGAACATCTAGCTGAGATAAGTTTCATAGGTAGTTACAACCAATTTAAAATCCATCACTGGATGTGAGAAGGTAAAATTATTGTTATTTTGTCCATCTGTGAGTCGCTTTACATTTTTCTCTGGCTTATTTGTCAGATCTTATTTGTCATTTTATTGAACAGTCACCCACATTTGGAAGGATCCTGTAAGAGTCTGAACAATCAACCTGGATTTTACTTTTCGGAATAATTTGCCATCGGTAACCATCTGGCTAAATGATATTTATACTGATGTGCTCTTTTTAAAGAATGATTTTTTTAACTCCATTCCCCTTCTATTCTTCATAAATGTATGCATTTACCCCATTTCATTATTGTGGAAGATAGAGATATCATCCTGTTTTCAGTCCGGTTCTGGCTTGCATAATGTCTGTTTTGTTCCAATTCTGCACCAGTTTGTGTTATAAATATACTGATTATATGCCATTACCGGTAAGTTATTTTTAATGTGTTAGTTAGATAGTGTCCATGAAGGCAAGACAAGAAGCAACGGATGGAAACTAATCAAGGAGAGAACCAACCTAGAAATAAGGAGAAATTTCCTGACAGTTAGAACAATTAATCAGTGGAACAGCTTGCCTTTAGACGTTGTGGATGCTCCATTACTGGAGGTTTTAAAGAAGAGATTGGACAACCATTTGTCTGAAATAGTATAGGGTCGCCTGTTTGAGCAAGGGGTTGGACTAGAAAACCTCCAAGGTTCCTTCCAAGTCTGTTATTCTATTATGATGATTTGTCCTTCAAGTTTTCCATGCCCACTGTAACTGAGTCCATCCACCTTGTGCTGCTGCCTTCTTCTCTTTCCTTTCACTTTTCCAGAGAATTAGGTCTTTTCGTGTTAGAATAGAATAAGAATAGAATAGAATAGAATAGAATAGAATAGAATAGAATAGAATAGAATAGAATAGAATAGAATAGAATAATAGAGTTGGAAGGGACCTTGGAGATCTTCTAGTCCGGGTCTCAGACTTTTAGGCGCCTACCTTTAGCAGTGCCTGCTTCTCCTCCAGGGTTCTGCTTCCATGCATTATCCACCAGCTTTTCTCCTCGGCTGGCCCACTTCCATTCTTTCACCCTGGCACATGGGCCATGGCCCCTCCATCCCAGTCCCTTTGCTGTGGCTCATTTGTCGAAGTACAGTTCGTGTCGGGCATTTGGGCGCATGGGACAATTCGCCACCAGCCAATCGGCTGGCTGGCAATGCTGGCAACCAGAAGTCACAGCACGATCGATGCAGGGGCTAGGAGGCTTTGGGGGAGGTGATGTAGCCAAATGGCCTCAGGTGCTTGTTAGGAGAAGGAAAGGGAGGGTTGGAAGCTCCCCTGTACCTGATTGTGTCTTTCTGACACCAAATGGGAAGAGAAGAGTGGAGGGTGGGTAACCCTAACCCTAACCCTAACCCAGTCTCTGCATCAATTGTGCTGTGACTTCTGGTTGCCAGCATTGGCAGCCAGCCGATTGGCTGGTGGCGAATTGTCCCATGCACCCAAACACCTGACACAAACTGTACTTCGACGAATGGGCTGCGGCAAAGGGACTGGGACTGACGGGCCGTGGCCCATTGCGGGGGTGAAAGGATGGGGGCTGGCCAGCCGGGGAGAAAAGCTGGTGGACAATGTGTGGGGGAGGAACACTGGAGGCGAAGCAGACACGGCCAAAGGTAGGAGCCTAAAAGTCCCATTCTGTCTAGTCCAACCCCCTGCTTAGGCAAGAACCCTATTCATTCATTCATTCATTCATTCATTCATTCATTCATTCATTCATTTATTGGTTCGATTTATATGCCGCCCTTTTCCAGAGACTCAGGGCGGCTTACAATGCGTTAAGCAATAGCCTCCATACTTTTGTATATACCTGCTTAGTAGGGCTTTTTGCCCCCCCCCCAGAAGCGGTGTTCTTTTTTATACAAAGTCAGCTTATTGCCCCCACAAACCGGGTCCTCATTTTACCTACCTCGAAAGGATGGAAGGCTGAGTCAACCTTGAGCCTGGTGAGATTTGAACTTGCAGTAATTGCAGGCAGCTGGTGTTACTTAACAGCGCTTTAGTCTGCTGCGCCACCAAGGCTCTATTTCAGTGGTGGTGAACCTTTTACTCACTGAGTGCCAAACAGATATGTGCTTCACTTATGCACAGCTCCCCCGCGTGCTGCGCACGCAACTACACCATCTGCACATGTGCACAGCTTTTGCGCCCCCATGCGCTGCAACCGCAACTGCACCATCTACACATGCGCATGGCTTTCATGTGGCTCCCCCATGCGCTGTGCGCACAATTGCATCATCTGTGCATGCGCTCAGCTTTCGCAGACGCAATGCACGAGCACAAACACCATCTGCATGTATGCAGGTACTCGCATGCGCATGCTCAAACACACACGCATGCACAGGAGACCTCCGAAGACCAGCTGGGTCTCTGAAATTGCACTCATGCACACTGGAGGCCCGAACAGCAGTTGGGACGCACGCTTGGGCAGCTGCAGGTGGGTTGGGTGACAGGACACGTGCCCGGAAAGATGGCTCTGCATGCCACCTCGGGCACGCGTGCCATAGGTTCGCCATCATGGCCCTACACCACTTCAGACAAATGGTTAACCAATCTCTTCTTAAAAACTTCCAGTGTTGGAGCATTTACAACTTCTGGAGGCAAGTCGTTCCATTGATTAATTGTTCTAACTGTCAGGAAATGTTTCCTTAATTCTAAGTTGCTTCTCTCCTTGATTAGTTTCCACCCATTGCTTCTTGTCCTACCGAAGTCAGTTAATTTGAGCCTGGTGGTTTATGTCCTGAATGAGAACTCTGGGTCAATTGTGAACATATGTATTTTTTACATATCTATATATATGTAAATGTTGTATCCCAAGTATATATTTTTAAATAAAGTATATCCTAAAATATACATTTCATTCAATTTAGCTACTTGCATTTGTTGAATCAAGAACTGTTTCCTAAAAGCCCTCAAGAATAACTGGATGCCTTTGTATATCAGAAAAAATGGACCAAACAAAATCCAGAAGCTTTTATAAAGAACAATACTGTGAGGTAGGCAAGGCTGACAATGAGTATTCAACATCACTCAGTAAACTAATACAGAAAGCCTGAATTATGCTACAGATAATTAATTTATAGAACTAGACATAATTAATTTATAGAACTAATTTATAGAATTTATAGGCCCGAAATAGAGGGAGACGGCACAAATTCACGAAGGGAGGCCAAAAAAATAATAATAATCAGTAGCTCTGGACTATTGATTTCGGGATGAAACATCAGCCATCAATATCATATATGAGGGGAAAAAATGAAAGAAAGACATTACCACATTTGTATTCTAAAAACCAATTGTGCAAATGTTGGTATCAAAATAAATATCCCAAAAGAATGTTCCCCAGAACATGTTGAATAATTCTTTAGTAGTTCAATTTTTAAACAGCAACCTTATCAGTTCTGCCTTGTAGCAGGCTTGGTTTTTAACAACAGCAACAATGACACCTTAATTCAACAGCTTCTGTAACTCTGCATTTAGAATAATCAAAGCCTTTATCTGGCTAATCCCTCCTGAATCTGAGCAATTTTGTATTCCTGCAACAGGAAATATAGTCTGCATCTAATTTTGCAGGCTAAAAAAAATGCACACAGCCTTTGCATCTTTTTTTTTTTTTAAAGTTAGAGAATTTCAATTATTTATGCCACTTCTGTGTCATCTTGTCCCCAGGAAATCAGGCTGGCAGATCATTTTTCACTCCATGCACATTGTAACAACCTGTGAGATGGGCTAGGCTGCCAAGTAGTGTCTGGCCTAAGGTCACCCTTTGAGCTTTATTTCTGAGTGGGAATTTGAACCCTGCCCCCTCCCTCTTCTCCCCCTCCAGATCTTGCCTGATATGTCATCTCCTGCATGATAACTAGGCCAATCCACACTCCAATCCCCAAAGCATCAAAAGAGGACAGGGTTTAGCATCTTTGCACTTCTTCCAAAACTCAGCAAGTGAAATCTGAAATCTTTATCTCAGTTATTGAGGTAAACATTGGGTTGGGGGGCAGGCAGCAGCAGGAGAATTAAAAAAGAATCTGCATGACAGCTTCTATCACAATGGTAGCCGCCATCTTGATTTTTCAATCTACTTTGCAAGCACGCCTGTGTAACTCGCATAAATTGGTGCCTCCTGCTTTCTTCCTATTTCTTCCCAATTTTGTAGTTATATCCCTAGACCAGGGGTGTCAAACTCAAGGCCCGGGGGCTGGATCCAGCCTGTGAGGTGTTTACATCTGGCCCATGGGGCTGCCCTGGAAACAGCGAAGGACTGGCCCGCAGTGCCTCTGCCAGTGAAAACGAAGCTAGGGAGGGTTGCGTGTGGCCCTCCCAAGCTGCCTTTTCACTGACAGAGGGTTGCAGGAGGCTGTCGCAGCCAAAAACAAAGCTCATGAGGGCCACGGGTGGCACTTCCAAGCTCCGTTTTCGCTGGCAGAGGGCCATTGCAGCCAGAAATAGAGCTCAGGAGCCTGTTTTTGCTGGCAGATCACTCGGGCCGCCACAGGCGTCCCCAACATGAATGACATTGAGCTGGCCACACCCACCCTGGCTCCCCGAGGTCAAACATAACCCTGATATGGCTCTCAATGAAATCCAAGTTTGACACCCCTGCCCTAAATGATGTCATTGAATCAATGGGCTGCTGTCAATCAATCAGGGATCACACAATCTCATAAACCAGGGGTCTCCAATCCATGAGTCATGGCCCACCTCCCAGCATTGAGCAGTTCAGAACCAGACCATGGAAATGCACATGCATGCAGTTGAGCGTGCACATGCATGCACCCCCATTTTAGCGAACAGCGGGCGTACTTGTATGAGTGCTCCATTTGTGCAAGCAGCAAACATGCATGCTGCCACTTGTAAAAATAGATCTGCACACACATTTGCCCATAGCTCAAACAGAACCATCCCCTCTCCCCACTCCTGTCAGTCCACAAAGCCGAAAAGGTTGGGGAAGTCTGCCCTAAACAACTGGATTTGGTTTCATGAATACCATATTTTTCAGAGTATAAGACACACTTTTCCCCCCCTAAAAGAGGGTGAAAATTTGGGTGCATCTTATACACCGAATATAGCCCCACCCACCCGCCAGCCCCCACCTTTTGGCCTCTGCCTCCTAGCAATTTGCCTCCTTGCAGCAAACAGCAAACAGCCCGTTTCAGTTTCAGCTTCAGCACAGCCTGATTAGCACAAGCAGCTGATTGTCAGTTGGATCGGCCTCCTGACCATCAGCTGTTTCAGGCTGCAGGGATTGCCATTGCCTATTGCCACCTCTGCGCGCCCCACCTCTGCTGTTTGCTGCAAGGAGGCAAATTGTTGGGAGGCAGAGGCAGATTTTTTTTTCTTGTTTTCCTCCCCAAAAAAGGTAGGTGCGTCTTATAGTCCACTATATCATGTGAAATAGAAAGAAAGGGCTAAGAGGGTGGAGGTATTTTTCAGTTCATCACAGTTCTGATTTGCTCCAGCAGCTTTCTGATCATGTTTTGGCAAGCCAGGGTAACTTTTAGGACCACCACCCTCTGTTTCTGAAATGCCATCTCGTTGCAGGGGAAAACAGCAGCAATGCCGATGTCCATCCCGCAAAGACAACGGCAGGAAGTCTTCTACTGCTCACCTGGCTACCAGTCTGAGTACACGCTCTTCCATACTACCCGAATCATCAAGTATGTCTTTTTGGATGGAAGCCAGAATATTGTCCCATTGTCTCAGGCCTCATCTGGCTTTGAGTCTCAACTTGGCTATCTGGAGTCTAGCAAGGGCTATTACTATCCACTTGTCATTCCGGAACACAGCCTGGCCAACTCCTTTTGGCCACCGGACCTTGGGCGTCTTCCCATTTTCGTCACTCTCTCCAAGGCCCAGGAGAAGTCAAATGCTGGCTGGGGGCGGCCCCTTTTTTCTCGGGATCGGTTACCTGTGTTCCGGCAGTTGTGTGGAGAAGGGGTGGTGTTAACATCCCATAACCATGAGAATAAAGCGGGCCTGAAACCAAGCAAAGATGAATGGGATAAAATTGAGGATTCAAAAGCACAGGAACTAGGAGGAAATATAGGCAGAGAGGAAGAGGAAGAAGAAAAGGAAGAGGAAGAGGAAGAGGAAGAAGAAGAGGAGGAGGAGGAGGAGGAGGGGGAAGAGGAGGAAGAGGAGGAGGAAAAGGAAGATAAAAGCTGCATGCCCCAGAACAACTGCCCAGGAAAGGGGAGCTAAGCTCTAAGGGTTTTTTTTTTTTCCGGATTCACAATAAAACCTGTGGTGCCAAATTGCTTTCTCCTCCTCTATAATTTTTGAATCTGTGCATCCCTGCAGGATGTTGTTTTCTGCATTAGAGGAAAGCTGCAGAGCAAGTTCAGGCACTTTCTCAGTTCTGCCCAATTGTATGATTCCCTAAGATTTACATTTCTAAAACTACAGTCAAGTTACCCTCCACCCTTATTCACCCATGATGCTTATAGAGACTGATTTTTTTTAAATTTGATTTATATGCCACCCTTCTCCGGAGACTCAGGGCGGCTTACAATGCGCTAAGCAATAGCCTTCATTCTTTTGTATATTTAAACAAAGTCAGCTCATTGCCCCCACAAACTGGGTCCTCAATTTACCTACCTTAGAAAGGATGGAAGGCTGAGTCAACCTTGAGCCTTGACAAGATTCGAACCTGCAGTAATTGCAGGCAGCTGTTCTTAATAACAGGGTGCTTTAGACCACTGTACTACCAAGGCCCTTAGCAAGCAATCCTTACCAAGGATTGTATAGAAAAACAGGGTTATCGGTAAATTCTTTCACCCACAGTCATGGCAGGTAGTGAGAAGAATTGGATTGCTTAAGTGAGAAAAATAGAACTATGCATGGGCTCTCAAATGTGGAGAATTAGCAATGAGAAAAGTTGCAGAGATTAGAATAATTAGGTGAATTACAATAATTTGATTAGAATAATCAAAGACACAAACGCATACATTAAACCTTGGACCAGACTGGCAGCTACTTACTTAAAACTCTAGAAAAGAATGAGAGGACAGGAACTGAATGCAACATTTGAAGCATGGAGAGAGAATAGCCATTCAAATTCCTAAATGCAAATCCATAAATTGGAGTCAAAGCACAGCAATTAATTCCCACATTATCAGAGGCAATGGGGCTAGCTGACTTGAGGGGGTTTGAACCAGCTTAAAAAGAGGTTAGAGATAAAGGGAAGAAATAGACACAGGAGGAGCAAAAAGGAAACTGGGGTGCAAATGTTATCTGCTGCAATGCTGGTGGACAGGAAGCAGGCAGGGACAATTGCCTATGTTACATAAGGAATCAGGTCCTCTGGTCTGGTCTGTGGAGCTGGCATAGCAATAGCAATAACATTTAGACTTATATACCACTTCATAGTGTTTTACAGCACATTCTAAATTTACAGAGTGAGCATATTGCCCCCAACAATCTGGGTCCTCATTTTATCAACTTCAGAAGGATGGAAGGCTGAGTCAACCTTGAGCTGCTCAGAATTGTACTCCTTGGCTGTGAACAGAGTCAGCTTGCAATACTACATTCTAACCACTATGCCACCATGTTGGATCCCTTTAGTGAATCCACAGTGGAGAATTATATATTATATAAGTATGCATTGATGAGAGCCAGTTTGATATAGTGATTAAAGATGCTGGATAAGGAGCAGGGAAATCTAAATCAGGCATGACTTTTGGATGACTTGGGCCAGTTCCTCTTTCTCAGGCTTTAGAAGAAGGTACTGGCAAACCATTTCTGAGAAGTTGCCCCCCCCCCCAAAACCCCTGAGCAGACTTATCCATATAGTCACCAAGAGTCAAAACTGACTTGAAGGACCATAGCAGTAGAGTGAGAGTTATTGAATCACTTCTTTAAAATGAGAAGAAACCAATCATTCAAGTACTGGATGTACTTAAATGCAGACCAAAAAAAAATTATCTAGAATGCTCCTGTACTGAACAGAGGGTTAGGCATGACGTCTTAAAAGGCTCCATCCAACTGCATAAATAATTGTCCTGCTTAAATATCTTAGCTTGTGGAAACTGTTTTTATGTTGATTGTTTTGCTTCAGAACAAAAGGAAGAAAATCCTGAGGACATCAATTGGTTTATCATAACTAGTGGGGAGATGCATGACAACCAAAGAGGCTTTTGGTACCATCCATATTCAGTTGCTGGATTTTTGTTTTGTAACTAATTTTGAGGGAAAGGAAGTATGGAGTGTAAAAATATAAAGTAGAGAAGAAAGCTCCTTATCTACCAATTAGATGCTCAGGACAATAAGAGATAATGGAGCTATCAGAATTCTGGCATGTATGATTATGGGGATAGAGACAGGTGGGTGGTCTACAGTGAAACCATACTAAGTTCTGGACAAGTTCCATGTACATGGTTGGAAAAATTAAGTAGTTTTTGTTTTAAAAAAAGTTTACCCCCAAAAATTGAAAGACTGGATTAGCTTCTCATTCATCAAAACATGATATTGTCCAAAAAAAAAGAAAAAAGGAATTATGACAAACCATGGAATTGCTTTGCATTTTTCTTGTCCCATGACATTTGCCCAATAATGTCACTCTTCTTCCATACTTTTTGCTCCTAAGACCCTGGAAGTTTCTTGCAGTACTTAGAGCCTACACTTCAGTGGTGGGTTCCTCCCGGTTCTGCCTGGTTTTGCCAAGCCGGTAGCGGTGACGATATGATATCACTGAACCGGTTCTGCCCCCCTGCCCCCCTGCGTTATTCTTACCTTTTATTTGGCCCCACCCCCAATCTATTGCTGCCTCCTGAGTCCCAGCTGATCCGCTAGAAGGAAAAAAACTGTTTAAACTCTTGCCGCGGGGCTTCAAAGGGCAGCCCTACAGCTGATCAGTGTTAAAAGGCAGTGTGGTGGTAGACTGGTGCCTGCAAAAACAAATGAGTGCCTGCAAAAACAAATGAGTAGACCGGTACAGCTCTGCAAGCAATTAAAAGCCTGGTAGACCAGTACCTCTGCTAAATCCTAAAGAATTGTCACACGACCATTAAGCCACGCCCACAGAACCAGTAGTAAAAAATTTTAGAACCCATCCCTGCTACACTTGCTTGTTCTAGATATCCTGATTATTGTTATGTATTATTGCTATTATTGTATTGTATTCAGCATGGTGGCTCTGGATGCAGACCAAACTTGGCAAACAATAATATAAATCATAATACCAAACAAACCACACTATGGCAACTAAGGGTAAGACTTCAGAACAATAGCAAATCACCTAGGTTCCGCCATATTCTGGACCTTGGTAACTGAGCAAGCAGACAAGGAACAACACCCATCTTTGCTCAACACTTTTCTGAATGATGAACCTTTCTCCAGTCCAAACCTTCCATTTATTCTCACACATAATCTATTTCCAAAGTATATTATTCTTGCTGCATTCAGCAAACAACCTTGAACACCAAACAAATCCATCTCTTTAGACTAATTTGCAATCACTGTTTGCAATCAACTATTGTTCCAAGAATGTTTTCACAACTACTATTAGCAAGCTCTGTTTCTCCATTCTATATTAGTATATTTGATTGTTTCCTTCATGAAGAAGTTGGCATTAATCTTTGTTCATTTTCATTGTGTTACTTTCAGTCCATTTTTCTGACCTATCATGATTGTTTTCAATTTCCTTTTGGTCTATTTGCTATCCCATCCAATTTTGTGTCATTTGCATATTTGATAAGCATTTCTTCTATCTCACACAAAACAGAAATGTGAATACTGGAAAGTTTTGTTCTGAACCATTGGATATCTCAGTTGATACCTTATTCCACTTTGATAAAAAAAATTATTGATGATTTGTTTTGATATAGTTTTTAAGTCAGCTGTGAACCTATTCACATGCTTTCCATGATATATTTAACAAGTTTGCTAATCAGAATGTCATGGGGTACTCTGTCAAGTGCTTTGTTGAAATTAAGGTATGTCTATAGCGGTCTGAAAATTCATTAAGAAAATTGCTAGATAAAAAAATAAGATAAGGTTAGCCTGACAAGACATGCTCTTGACATATTCACACTGATGCCTAGTAATTATCACAAACATGAGCCACTGAAAAAGAACTAGATTGGATATGACTGTTCAACTCGTAGTGAAAAGAGCATTCCACTTTATAATATGAAAAATATATCATACCTTTTGGCAGAAGTAGTATAAATGTCTAACCCAGTGATGGCTAACCTTTTTGCCATTGTGAGCCAGGAAGGGGGAGGGCAGGGGAGGTTTGCGCGCGCGGCCACGCCTATAATTCTATGTGTCCCACCCTGCGCATGCAGATCCTCTCTATGCATCTGGGGAGGGCCTCCAAGGGGGTGGCGAAGGCTGTTTTCACCCTCCCCAGATGCATAGAGAGGATCTGGAGCCAGGTGACAAAGAAAAATGGGCCTACCGGGCCATCGCGTGCCAAGACCGAGGGGGGGGAAGGGGAGTTGTGCGCGCATGCGCAGGGTGGGGCACATAGAATTATGGGTGTGGGCATGCGCGCGCACGAACCTCCCCTGTCCCTCCTCCTGGCACGCGATGGCATAAAGGTTAGCCATCACTGGTCTAGAGAAAGTCAGAGGAACTCCAACATTTATGGCACATGTTGATACCTTTAGGATACTACAAATGTGAAAATTTATAGTATCAATCAAATAGCATTTCAAAGCATTTCAGGGGGAAGTGGCACTGGGTGGTTACATAATCCCTTTATCTTTCTGATATCTATCTGTTTCAATGTTATTGCCAATGTACATAATGGCAGGAGTGGGTTTGCTTGGGGCTCTTTCCTGCAGTCTGCTGGCAGGGAGCCCAGTGGCTCACTGCAAGTTATTTCCAATAAAGTAAACTGTTATTTCTATCTCCAAAATGCTTTGGTTTTGCTTTAATGAGTGTTTTCCTCACAATAAACCCAACTGAAGTCTATCTCATGATAGACATTTGAGTGGGCAAATTTTATTTATTTATTTAGCATATGGCGTATCATATACACGGACTAGCAATATGATTTAACATTTCAACTAGATTAATAGAACCCAATAAAACATGAAGATTAAAAAGATCTATGTTCAAAGATCAATGTCTAAGCCAACTAATCACTGAAACTCAGCATTATTTTTGTTTTAAAAAAATCAGATACTGGAACAGTACATGCCCTCAGTTTACAGATGATAGAATAGAATAGAATAGAATAGAATAGAATAGAATAGAATAGAATAGAATAGAATAGAATAGAATAGAATAGAATAGAATAGAATAGAAT